CAGGTCCAGGACTTGAACCTTAGTTGGCCATGTGAGAGTCCAGTGCCTCAACCACCACACCACATACTGGCCCCTCACTTAATGATTCTAATGCTCAGCCTAGTTGGAGAATCACTGGTCTGAGTGATCTCCTTAGTCCCTTTCTGACCAAATTACCCATTTGGGGGATTAAATCTCTGAGTATTACCAGAAGGACAGGGTGTTATGGAATGTTTAAGAAATGTTTAATCAAAACCATCTATGGTGGGGTAGGCAATGGTAATGGAATGCCCCATGATGCTGAAGCCACATGGGAAGGTCCTGGGTTTGTATCCTGGGGTCTCCCTGTACATACCAGGGCACGTGCATGTGACCATGTACTGGATGACTGGGGCTGGGGGTGAATTGCACTGAGGACTCTGTTGATAATGCTTTTCTCTGAGAGAGAGAGAGAGAGACTTGTGGAAAAAAAATACAACTTTAAAAAATTTTAACTGAGATTAGGGACAGAGACCAGGAGAATTATCTGGGGAATGTGGCAATACTGGTTTTATTTGATAAGTTATAAGAGAAGATTTATAATGATTAGTAAGAGACATCTTATGATAAATACTCACTCATTGCTTTTTGACTGCTCAGCACTCATTTCCTGACTTTTGAAAAAGATACCTTTTTTTTTTCCCCCATTTGTTAGAGGGTGTATGTACTGGCCAGAGAGAGAGATGGAGAGACAAGAAGAGGGAAAAGAAGAAAGCACCTCCCAATGGAGCTTTGTCATGCCACAATCCCTTCTCCTCCATTTCTCCATCTTGTCAGGATTCTGGGCACGCACACACATGCGCTGGGATATTTTTTTTTTTTCCCGCTGGGATATTTTTCAAGCCACTGATCTGGTACTCAGACAGCACTGTCAGTCATGTGGGACCCAGCTCCTTTAACCACCAGGCCACAGGGCTTACCCTGAAAAAGTTACCTGGATATTCCTCTAATAAACTACTTCATTCTCAGCTCTTCATCCATGTGTTTTTGGTGGGTTTGAATCCATCTTGCTCCTGACCTCAGTGTAGGTATGAGACCAAGCTAGGTTAAAGAGACTCAAACACAGGATTTTTGATGGCTTAGTTGCTTATCTGGGACACTGTCATGCTGGTGCTCCTGGCAGTCCTGTGTCTTGATTGCAGGGGAGAAACCTATACATGGTAGAAAAATTGAGGCCAACATATGGAGGACAGATAATATAAATAAACCTTTAAGAACACAAACAATACGGTTTCGAACACTGATGGTTCTTATTACATCAAGATTGAATTTTTGTCAAAAAATGACACCATGGATATATTTAATAAAAGTCTGACAGAATATGAGAAGATATTTGTAATTTCAGAACAAAGAGAGAGAGCAACAGCTTCTAGAATATGCAAGAAAATCCTGTAAATTGAGGAGAAAAAGATCATACGTGGATACTTGATACGAATAGATTTACAGAGAAGGAAACTCTGAAAGCCTAACAAACCTATGATGAGCTCTCAAAATCATGCTAAGAAAAGTTTAAATTAAGACAATTAAATATTACTTTATACTCATTACACTGGAATAAATTGGGAAGCTGGTTATCACCAAGGGTTGAAAGGAATGTGTGGATACAGGACCCTCCATGTATAGCTGGTAGGACTGTTGACCACTGCAGTTTTTTGAGGACAATTGGAGACACCTTTGTCAAATCTGTTCTAAACCAATCACAAGTTTAGTGACCCACTAATGCTGCTCCAACACCTGCATACCAGTAGATTTCTGTCTCAGGTTCACAAAAGGACATATGTCAGAGATTTTCACAGAAATATTGCCTGTGGTGGCAGAGAATTGGAGGCTGCATCACAGGGAGAAGGAGCGAGGAAACTATAGTAGTTCTATACCACGGTCATCAGTCGCATATTGGTGCTGGAGAAATTATGATGCCTTTTTGCATAGGAAAAAAATACATCATGCTGTTTCAGACAACCCAATAAAATGGAGAAAGAGACATATACATAAAGTGATAAAAAAGAAAACAGAATAAGATCTATAACCAAGTATCACCTGCACAAATTAAAAATACATGCATACAAAAACCATACATATCTTGAAAGAACATATGCAATATATATAGATAGATATAGATATACACACACATACTTTATATACATATACGTATGTGTATATAATATATTATGTACATGTGTGTACGTGTTTGATATATTAAGATGGGTGCCCAAAAAACATCTCTGTTCCTAAAGATGTTAAAAAAACATGTAAATAAATAAATATTGGATAATTTTGACAGGTACAAAGAGGGAAAAACAAAAATCCAAGTGCTCAGAAAACAAATAACAAGAGTAATTTACTTTCTGTAGGTTGGTGAGGGAAGACTTCCCTGAGTTACTCAGATACATTTAGCTGGGGCATGACTATGGAAAGTATTTAAGCACATAGTCTGGGGAGACCAACTGGATAGAAGAAAAGCCATGAGAAAAGCTGTGAGGGAGAAAAGAGCTAGATATTTAAGGAACTAAATGTAGCGTGTGACAGTGAACCCAGAAGACAACATCTCTTTCCTTGAAAGTTTTGGAGTTGGGGAATGGTGTGGGTGAAGGTGGGGAATCAAAATCAATAGCCAGAGCAGGGTTGGACTCAGGACTTGTGTGCCCTAGCAGTCAGCACAGTGTTAATACCATGTAATTACCCGGAGCTGTAAAATCCACTCTTCTCAGTTAGCACAGTCATTATAAGGAGAAAGGAAGACATTTTCCAGGTAAATCTCCTTTCAGGTTTGCAGCAACCAGAATGCATTTGGAAAAAATAGGTCTGCGATTTTAATGTGAGGCCCCCAAGTGGAATTTATACTTTTACCTGCCTCTGATGTACTGCTTTAAACTCCTTCTAAATCAATAGGTTAAAAAAAATAGGGGCCGTATGGATAAGAAGATCCAACAGGCCTTGTTCTATTCACTGCGGCCTCACTTTGATGCCTGATGCTCGGAGGATGTGCAATTTTATCTACAGGGTAGATAAATACATATACTCCCTTTTAAAATAGAATTTTGAATGAAAAGGCCACAATGTAATATGGCTAGATACTGACTATACCCCCTGTTTCTCTCTGACTCTCACACATAAATGTGAATGCTAAAGCTATAGAGAAAAGTAAAAAGCGGAAATAAATAAAGGTAAGAGAAAGTTTTTTTATCCATGGATGTTTTACATATATATTATCAATATATATAAAATGACTATTGATATTTGGGTATAATATATATATTATATATTTTATATATATGTATGTGTGTGTGTACATATATATATATAATATATATATATATATATAATGCAAAGTTCTGTAAGTTTTCTTATTTTCTATATTTTTCTTTCTATTAATAATTTCTAATTTCCTGTATTTACTAGTATAGAAGAATATATGCTATTATAGTATTTACTAAATATATCATTTTTATAATTTCTGCTTTTCTGACTTTTCACACAATTTTTTCTCTTTTTTCTTTATTTTTGTGAAATTTGTTAGAAGGCATATGTACTCAATGGAGAAAGACAGAGGGAAAGTGAGAAGCACCCCCATGAAGCATGGTCATGCTGCACTCCCTTGTCCTCCATCTTTCCATCCATTTGGGACTTGGGGTATGCATGTATACATTTCCAGTGTGTTTTTGAAGGACTAGAACCATGCAGCAGCTGCCCATATGGGATCCAGCTGCTTTATCCACTAAGCCACACACTGGCCCACACTGTAACTCTCTTTAATATGACTTTTTTTTTTCAATTGAAAAAGTCATTTACAAAGGGAAGAAAAATTACCACTGGGGGCTGCATGTAGATAAGATGTAAAACTGGACACTCTCTGATATTGATCCATATGGGAAATTTTTAGGATTGTATCTAGATATCTCCCTAAATATGCAGGGTACACATGTGCCCATAATCTGGGACTGGCTGGGGATGGATTGCAGTATCAAAACCCTATTGGGATTTCTGTCTATCTGTCTCTCTCACTTACAGAAGAAATAAATAAACTTGGAAAAATATTATCTCCTTTTAGGGAATGTGTCATATGTATATGCTTTTGATGGTTAATAGTTATACATACTATATACACACATATATACAGTAGATTACATATATGTGTGTATATATATATATATATATATGTATATACATGTGTGTATAAATATATATCTCAAAAGGCCTATGTTTGACTATGCAGAAATAGACCTGAAACCAAGTCTTAGGTGGAGTGTAAAGCTATAATTTCTGTGCAGGTATAAATAACAAGAAATGTGCATTTGGAGGGACTGAGGTCTTGGGGGAAGAGATGAGCCTGAGCAAAGTGATGTCAGGAAGAACCCCAGAGGACAAATGACCACTGGGAAATTTACCCTAATAGGGAAATAGTTGTTGTCAATTACTGAGAATAGCAATGTCTAATTTTTCATGTTAACTTCTGGTATGAAACATTTACCGTGGGGCAGGACATTTGCTCAGGGCTGGAGTTACCGTATGAAAAAGAAATGCAAGACCTCTGTTTTTGTGGATATTTTTTTGTCTTAGGAGAGGAGGAATGGTAATAACTGGTATTTATATAGTATTAAATATGTGCCAAACAGTATTCTCAGTGCTTTACATATATTAGCTTCTTTAATCCTCATGACTTAAGAGTATTTTTTTTTTATTTTACAGATGCTAAACTGAAGCACAAAGAAATTAAATAAGTTGCTCAAGATCATTCAGCCATCCATGACAAGGTTAGGATTACAAACCATGTAGTCTGACTCAAGGATTAGCAAAGAAATGAATTATAGATGATAATGAATGGTCGAAAAGGTATATACAAGATTATTTTAATGGAAAAACTAGGCAGGACCTACTTTATAAAATAATTATTTTATTTAACTTCATTTATTTTTATTATTATTTTTTAATTTGACCAGAGAGAGACAGAGAAAGAGAGAGAGGAGAAAAGTGAGAAAGCAAGCTGCCAGGTCTGAGACTTAAACCATGGTCAGCCATGTGGAAGTCCAATGTCTTTACTACCATGCCACCTGCCAGCTCAGATCTACTTTTGAGAGATTAGTTGTAGAAGATCTTTCTCAGGAGGTAAAACCTAAATGATAACAAAGCCATTTCTAAACTAAGGGGAATATGTCTCCATTATCCCCAAACATGACAGTTGGTTAGCCTTGGGGGTAATGGACTTAAACTGAATAGAGAGGGCAATATCTAAAGATCCCCAAATAAAGGGTGACCTAAGGGATGGAGATGACGCTTACCAGGACTAGACTTGAGACATACTCATTTCCTCCAAAACACAGTAAAGTAATGCTCAAATCAAGAGACCCTGGGTAGTACTTACATGGACAGAATAGGCAAGGGCAAATCAGGTAATAGACGCTAAGGTTACACACTACAGAAGGAGATGAAAGAAAAAGTAAAGTTGTAATTCCTTCCCTCACCCACTCTCCTCAAAGAATTGCCTTATATCCTCCAGCCAGATTCCTAATAGGCATTATTACAAATTGGCACAATATAAAGTACTGCAGAATTAACCAGATTTCAGTTCCAAATCCAGGCCTAGAATATACAACAAGTTTTTTTAAAAGCAAGAAAATGAGCCTATTTTTAACAGAGGGACAGGAATAGTAACATTGCCCATTCATGAATGATTGTTGCTAAATGGAAAATTATTCTAACAACTCTTATTATTTAAAAATCATCAGGACTAAATAGCTAGTGAGACGAAGTTTCAGCTGTCCAAGTGAAATGCACTCCAAACTATTGCCTTGGATTTTCTGGCTGTGAAAAAAGCCGAACAAAGCTTTAGGTAGATTTGATGTGTTTGCAGATGCTGTCCCTGCTGTGTCTGAAAGAGCTCCTACTCTTGGTGAACAAAACCTGGTGAAATCTACTGGCCCTTTACTGCTAGAAAGAAGATATTCTTAGAGCTCCAAAGGGCTTTCCCTCATGTATGGAGACACTGCAGGCTTCTTCATGCCTTTCCCGTTTCTCTTCTTTCTGCCCACCCTTTGAATATTCATAGCTCCTCAGTGGTCTGAATTAGATTGTACTAATGTGGCTATATACATGTATATATACATGCTTTTCATTGAAATATTTTCTTTAATTTTTACAGTAATTCATTTATATT